CCCTGCCCTCACTGAGGTCCTCAGTGTCTCTCATCCACATACCTTCCTGCCTCCAACCTTCTGATTCCTCAGTCCTCAGGCAGAATGACCTCACCAAAACCAAGCTTCGATCTTAGTCCTCTAATTCAAAAGCCCTCAGTGGCCCCCAGTGCCAACAAGCACAGTGCAGACTTGGCCTGGCCATCCAGGCCCAGGGAGCCCAGCCCAGCCCTGTCCCCCACATCACATCAAGCAGTTGGACTTCCATGGCTCTGTGGCAGCAGAGCAAGTCACCGTGTGGCTGTGAGCAAATCTTTCATCTGGGCCGGCTTCATGTACTCTCGCCACGGAGAAAACTCCCCCGATCCCGTGATATATGGAGCAGGGTCATCCACAAACTCCAGCAGGGCAGTCACCTAACACCAGTCACATTTCAGGAACTTTTAGCAACGTCTTTGTGATCACTGGTAGGTGGCCCGTGCATTCTGAGTCCACACCTATGGAAGTCGATACAAGGACCCGTGTGTCTGAATCAGGTCACCAATCTCCTGCCATTCGGGAGAAGGTTTAGAAGCAAAAACCGAGCCTACAGAAACCCTGCTGTAAAAGACAAACCTGATCCAGTGGCTACTGGTGTCAAATTCCTCAGGGCACTCCGCAGCGCACGCCGGCCCCTGCGGCCGTGCAGCCCACCCCAGCCCAGGCCTCAGTGGTGTGGCCCCAGCAGTCCTCTGGTGGTGACCTGGGCACACCTCGTTCCTGCTACCTCTGGCCTCTGGCCATGCAGCTGCCTGAAATACCCCTTTCTACTCTTTCTCCCAGTCACTCCCACTTGGCGAACTCTTCTTTCAAGACCCATCTCAAAGGTCACATTCATGAAAGCATGTCATGACTTCCCAGTCCCAGAGTGAGTGAGGGCTCATCCCTCGGCTCCATGACACCTGGTCACCAACTCCACCACAGTGCGCATCACACTGACTCGAGATCGCCTTGCCTGTATTCCCACTACAGTCTTTGCTTGTAACTCATCACAGTGACCCACCAAACCATTACCATAAAATATTTCAAATTCAAGGTCATAGAAAAGTTGTCTTAATTTGAGGCCACACTGCATCAAAATAAAGCTGAAATTTCAGTATTCCCATTAATTGCCTTGAATGAAGGCCTGAGGAGAAAGGAGAGTTATCACAACTAAGAATTTCTGTTTCAGGTGTGTGTTTGTGTATATATGATTCCACAAACACACGAAAGTGCAGCTCAAGGCTAAGGTAAGAAGAGCAAGTAGGTTTCAGAATAGGAGATATGTGTCATTTTTCTCTTTTGAAAGTCAGTCTTTTCTTCTACCAGCCTGGAACAGGTTTTATTCATGATTTCCTAAGCTAAAATATTGCACACATTTTTGTATCAAAATATTTGGTGGGTGCTACTTGGGTCGTAGCAAGGGCATTATAATTTAGTTGATTACGTATTGGCTATTTACTTATTCATGTTCCAAATGAAATGGTGGCCCACCTCTGTGTTGTAAGGGTTGATATTCTGGGATTTGGAGAAAGAAATCCCTCCCTGTACCATTTCCCAGAATGCAATATCCATTCTCAGTATACCTTTGCGAGCCGGACAGTCATTCTCCTGCATCTGGAAAATCAAAGCCATTGCACTGTGCCAAGGGAGTCAACAGGGAAAGGGAGACATTGTCTGACAAGCCCCTCCATGTGATGTCAGCAGTGCTGCGGGGTCTCTCGCCAGGTCTGGGGCAGAGAGTGCAGTCTCTCCACGCACCATGCTGGGAGAATGGGATTCATCCAAGCGCAGGAGGCGGTCACTAATGGGTTTAACAAAGGAAGTGAAATGATGTGAGAAGTATTGTAAAGATCTCTCCGGGTCCAAAGTGATGGACAGAATAGAGAGGAAGCGGAAGCAGGGCAGCCAGTTCAAAGGCCTTTGCAGTAACTGAGGCAATGACTGTGTCATGGGACATGGAGGGAGATGTGGAGGGCAGCAAGTGAATTCAAGAAGCATCGCTAGGACATGGTAACTTGGAGGAAGAAAAAGGTGGCTGCCCAGTTTCTGGCTTGAAAAAGCAAATTAACAGCTGTGATGGGGGAAGGGAGGACTAGAAAGGGGCTGTGGTAGGAGGAGACCAAGAGTTAATATATGGACTCATTAAGCTTGAGGTGCCCATGAGATACACAAGTTTGCTAACTGCTATAAAAGGCATAAAGTGCTGCAAAGTACAGAGGCAACATGTGGAGTGATGGATGCCTGAGGCCATTCTCACTGGTGACCCTTCCTGACCTCTCGGGTTGCTCTGACACCCACCTCTGTGCCAGCCAAGGTGGGGTGCACATGAGGAGCTTATGGGGCCACACTCGGCCAGGACACCTACACGCTGCCTCTATGATGACCCTTGGTAGTAACGCATATGCCAGCTTTGGGGCTAAGAAAACAGTAATTTCTCACAGTAAAATGGTATTTGCATTGCACCACAATGGGAAGTAAAAAATGTAGCCTATTTTCTTCAATTACAAGTATATTAGGTTTGCTGATTTCTTGATACTGATGTTTTCAAGGAGCACCAGCAGAAGGTTCTTGGTATCTAATTCCACGCCCTGACAGGTACCCTAGTTCAAGTACCACCCTGCTGCGGGAGGTGGGTTCCAAGTTAGAGTCTCCCCTAGGAAACTGTTCACCTAAAGTGGCATCAGAAAAGGGCACAGACGATAGTGTGGGCAAGAGCGGGAAGGAGGGGGCAATAGGGAAGTAGAGAGGCAACATTGTAATATTTTCAGCAATAAAGATAAAAAAAAAATTTAAAAAAAATAAAGTGGCTCAGTGGTTGAGCACTGACCCATGCACCAAGAGGTCGCCAGTTCGATTCCCGGTCAGGGCACATGCCCAGGTTGTGGGCCAGATCCCCTGTGGGGGCATGCAGGAGGCGGCCAACTGATGTTCTCTCTCATCGATGTTTCTATCTCTCTCTATCTCTCCCTTCTTCTCTCTCTAAAATCAATAAAGAAAAAAATAAATAAAGTGCCTGCCTTACAGCATGGTTGTTCTGTAACTTTTAAAAAAATAAAAATAAAGTGGCATCAGATGCAGAGAAAGGTCTCTCTCAACGAGAAGACAGCCTATTTCAGGAAAACAATGAATCACTGAAATCACGTGCTGCTCTTAAGTTAATATGCCTCCCTCTGCACTGGAACCTGCTTTCCGATCATGATGAGTCTATTTTCCAGTTCCCCCATCGAAGGACAAACCAAAATGTCATTCCACAATCTGCTTTCTAATTAAAAGTCAAGCCATTTTTTAAAAACCACACTGAACTAAACAATTCCACATGGCAACAGAACCCCGAGCTCCGCCGCCCGACGGAGGGGACCCGTGCAATGAAAGGGGAAGGAGGGAGAGCTCATGGGGTACAGCCGGACTAAGCTGGTCAGGCCCCTCTCAGCGTCTTCCAGCTTCTCATCGAGTAAACCGGGCAGCATCAATGTAAATTAATTAAACTTCCTGCATTTAAACAAGCCCTGACAAAAGCCAAAACTTACAAGAACGATGGGAAGATCCTGGGGGAACCTATCTACAGACTTTTTCAAGAAAGCAGCCTGGATGAGGTTAGGGGAGACCCCAGGGTCAGACTGCATCTCCCAACAGAAGATCAAGGCTCCCCTCCCTAAACGGAACGCTGGGGGTGGGACAGGGACAGGTGAGAGACAGTCCTCAGGTTTGGTGACAGCAGCACTGGCTTCCAAGGGAAAGGAAGGACCAAGACAGTGCAGGGGAGAGAAGACCCAACTCCATTCACACCTACCACGTGACCTCACGCAAACCGCGAAGCTGCGGCGCTGTTTCCTGCCTGAAGATGAGAAGTGACCCTTCGCCCCTGCCTGCCAGGACGGTGGGGGAAGACCTGGTGATGTACAGAAGCACCCAGTAAACGGGGAAGAACTCCCCAACCAAGAGACAAGCTGGTTCCTGTTGGGCGGCAAAGGCCGGGACAGCCCTCTAAGAGGGCACTGACCAAGAAAACTGGTAGAATTGGTACAGGATGTCTTTAGGATAGTTAACAAATGCAACAAACGGTTTGAAAAAAAGGAAACTGCTGACCCATGCGTTTAAGCAAAAAGGTTTGGATCAAGGAGGTGGGTTAAAAAGCAATTGTCCGATGACTGAAGCAGCTCGAAGATCATGCGGATGGATGCCAGCAGCTAGGAGGGGTTCCAACCACAGCTTGACCAAACCCCAGCCCCGAGCAGCCCCCAGTCAGCCCCAGCCACAGGCTGCTGTGGTCATTGGTTCCTGACCTGCCTGTCACCTCCCTTCCCTTCCAGCTTCTGGATTATTGCTCTTAACATGGGCCCTAATTGCCCATGAAAAAGAAAAATCAGATACAAAAGCTTTGCTATTAGCTTCATTTCACCAACAGTCAAAACTCAAAGGACCACTAGAGAAGATTAGCAATTTCTGAGGAATGCTCAAAGAACAGAACCCATGCGAGGAGGAGCGGAGAGGTACAGGGACAAAGGGAACCCCCACAGGAGCTGACAATGTTTACTCATAAACGTTTATGGAGCATCCACTACGCCCCAGGCACAACTCAGGTTCGCCTGGAGGAGCTTACTGGGAACACACACAAACAGGCAGCTATAATCGAATGTGGAAGTGCTAGGATGGGGAGGTCCCCGAGGAGGGGCCCCACGCTCAGCGCAGCCGTGGGAGAGCAGTCAGAGGAGGGCACAAATGAAAATGTGAAGGCTGTATGGCACGTGTCGGCACGAGGAGGCAGTGTCGTGGGGTTTCAGAAGCAGGAGAGACCACAGCCAGCAGGAGGGATCGAACAGGCCTCATTTCCAGAGAGGCAGCACTGGAGAAAGGCCCTGAGGGATGCAGAGGGGCATGCCAGGCAGGGAGGAGGCTGAGCTGTTCCACTTAGAACTAGGTGTGTCTGGGGAATGACAGGGACAGTACTCCCTCCTCACACATGGGTTTCCCCTTATAAGAGAACTGGAGTCGATACAAACTTACTTCTACGTACCTTTTCTTCAACTTCAAGAATGCTGCTTCAACAATTCCAGCAAACCGACTTCCACTGGAGGTGACTTGAGTTAATTTCTGTTGAGAAATCAGAAAAAGAGGTATAATAGGTTTGGGGGGGCTACCCCTCCACATACCCCTTTTTTGGGACATCCCCCAAGTCCACGCTGAGAGACAGTCACATGGTTCCCTCTCCCAACCCACTGACTTGAGAATAGACACTTGTCACATCAGCTGCACTGCCCGCCTTCCTCCTTCCCTCATTTGAGAATAAAGACATGCAAACTTAGGCAGGCAGGGGGAGCCCTGATCCAGAGAAACAGACACACCACACACACACACACACAGACACACACACACACACACACAGATATCACTCTCTCCATCTCCATCTCTCTCTCTCTCTCTCTCTCTCTCTCTCTTTCTCTCTCTCTCTCTCTCTCTCTCTCTCTCTCTCTCTCTCTCTCTCTCTCTCTCTCTCTCTCTCGGCAGGACCACGCAGCCTGAGCAGGCGCCTTCCCGCTGCAGTTCCAGCAGATGGTCAAGCTCTGCTCCCTGCAATTCCTGAGCGCCCTACAACAAACCCTCTACTAACTCAAGCTGGTAGGAGGGCAATTCTGTTTCCTGCAACCAAAAATCACTGATTTAAGAATCAGAGCCCTGGCCGGTTTGGCTCAGCGGTTGGAGCGTCAGCCTGCGGTCCTGAGAGACCCGGGTTCGGTTCCCGCTAAGGACATGTACCTCGGTTGCAGTTTGTCCCCGGCCCTGGTTGGTCGTGCGGGTGGCAGCCACTCGATGTGTCCCTTCACATCGATGTTTCTCTCTCTCTGTCTTCCTCTCTCTCCCTCCTGCTCTATCTGAACAAAAAATGGAAAAATGTCCTCAGGTGAGGATAAAAAAAAAAAAAAAAAAAAGAATCAGAGAGCCAGGGCTAGGATAAGAAAAAGAAACAAAAGTAGAGGGTTAAGGAAAAGGCTGCTGAAACAAAGTCTTGGAAAACAATAAAAGATGAGAGAAAGGGACCCGAGCCTCTGAACTACTGTCCCATAATATGTGAGAGGAAAAGAAGAGAGATGTGTGAGATCCATAGAATAGACATGACAATTCACAATATCCCAGGGGTATAAATATTAAGATGGAAGCCCATATAAAAGAGTAAAGGAGTTCCTAATATGAGCATTACCCATTATGAAACAAGATAAATAAGAATTTCACTGAAAATACACAGGTGAGCCTGAAAAGTGCCCACAGCAATCAAGGAATCGTCGAATAACCATACAATACCCCTCGTTACTAAAATAAGAAGCGTAATAACGCAGACTTGGTTTATTGTGCTGCCTCTTTTTTTGTCTTAAACAATGGATATTTTATTTACTCATGGTTTACTGAGTCAGCAATTAGTGCTGTGCTCAGCTGGTTGGTTTTCCTTCTGGTCTTACCTGGCTGCAGTCACCTGGTAGTTCAACTGAAACTGAATGGGATGGTAGACCAGATGCTAGTGTCGGGTACTAGCTGTTCTTGTTGCCTTTATAGTCTTTTCAGTAAATGTGAACATTTCTTTCCTGAGATCTTCAAAGATTTATCTCCTTTCCATATGTTTCCATTGGTACTTGAGTTGGTCAACCATGAACTGACCTACCATAGGGCTTCAAGTATCTAATCTCTTTTAGGAAGTGATGGTTTGGGTCAAGTTCAGAGATTAAGGCGTGTGAAAGGGAAGGGGTGGGAAGCAGAACTGGAAAGGAGAAGGTTCTTCAGGGGACCCTCAATACCAAGTTAAATTGGATGGACTCTATTCAACCAGCATAAGAGTCAAGGTGACTGTAGTCTAATCCCATATTCTCTAACAAATAATTACCATTCAGGAAATATAGAATGTTAAAATTGGGCTGCAGATGGAAAATAACACCCAAAGTACAAGGACTGAAGCAATCAGATGAAAATTAAGTGGACAGCAAGCACTGACCTTCACCTTTGACAGGGACCTTCGCCTGCTGGTGCCGGCTTATTAGCTGCAGCAAAGGCTCTGCAAGTTTCCCCTGGATTCTGGGCCGCCTAAGCAGCTCGGTGCTCCAGGGGCTCCCTGGAGCACCAGCTTTCACTCATCAGGGTACAGAAGGGTGACAGGGACACCAGCTGGCCTACAGAACAGGCTGAAGGGCAGCTCTCCAGCCTGCGCCCCCAGACCTGGCCCGGAGGGCTGGTGCCACATCCCGCTCCCCATTACAAAAAGCAGACACTGTGCTCTAACCTGCGCCCTTCCCCTGCCTCTCCGGGCCTCATTCATAAAACAGGGGAGGCCAGTGGTACTCGAAGGGTGGTCTGCAAACTCTGCTGCTGGTTCATGACAGGATAAGTACAGAACTGAGAGCCTTTGAAGCTTTTATAGCATATGATATTGCCACACAGTCAAGTACACAATCAGTGGAACTATCTTATTAAATGGAGCACAGACTGGTATAAGGGATCCCTGCAGCTGCTGTAATAAATTACCACAAACTGGGTGGTATAAAACAATATAAATGTATTCCCACACAGTTCTGGCGTCCAGAAGCCCCAAATCAAGGTGTCAGCAGGGCCAAGTCCCTTCAGAGGCTCTGGGGAGACCTGCTCCTTGCCTTTTCCAGCTTCTGGTGGCAGCTGGCATTTCTCGGCTGGCGGCCACCTCGGCCCTCCACTTCACTGCAGTGAGTGTGTGTGTCTGAGTGTGACCTCCCGCTTCCTAGATCTTATAAGGACACTTGTGATCGGCCCACCTGGGTAATCCAAGTTGATCTCATCTCAAAATCCTTAAAGTCCCCTTCTCCAAATAAGATAACATTATTTGGACACATCTTTGGTGTCCGTTTAGTCCACTACAGCTGGTTTGGATACTGCTGAACTCGTGTGTGACCAGTTGAACATGGTGCACACTGTACACTGACAGCAATTCACCACTGAGGGACACCCTCCTCCCCCACCCCCACCCCGTCTTTCCTTCAGCTAGGTCCCTGCTCGCCCTCTGCGACCTAGAGGCCAGGGCTGGGCAAGACCACACGGCAACGGGCAGGAAGGAGAGAAGGCTAACAGGGCGCAGGGTTGCAAAGAGCAAGTGCAGGTTGTGCCCTCAGCCCTGCCCAAGGCTGGTCTCCCTCCTTCCCTAGCAGGCAGCACAGAAGTTGTCCCTCCTGACCCCTATTCCCATCCCTCGCGGGGCTCTCGCTGTCAAGTGATTACATTGACCTGTTTCTGTTCTAGTGTGCCTGCTCGTCCCCTAAAATGCTCAGAGTTTTCAATGTCCAAGTTTGAAAACAGACACACAACTTTTTAATTAAAACCCTGTGTACCTAGCATGCCCTGTTACTATACGAACATATCCTCTCCCCCAACACCCTTCCCTGTACTTTCACCAACATTCTGGAAGTTTTCAGGCTTCATAACAGAATGGAGACACACTTGGAGACTTAGTAAAGCAAGGATTTAATTTCTCATTAGAAGTTGTCTGGCCTGGCATGAACAGTCCTTGCTAAAGGAATCACTGTGTTGAGTTCCTTTGCTGTTACATTTCAAACTTAAAGGGTAGACCATGCCACCCTGGCCGGTGTGCTTAGTGGTTAGAGCGCCGGCCCATGAACTGACGAGTCTCAGGTTCGATTCCCAATCAAGGGAACATATCTGGTTTGAGAGTTCGATCCCCAGCCCCGGTTGAGGCAGGTCCAGGAGGCAACCAATTGAAGTGTCTCTCTCACATCAATATTTCTCTTTCTCTCTCTCTCTCTCTCTCTCTCTCTCTCTCTCTCTCTCTCTCTCTCTCCCACTCTCTCTAAGAAAAATCAATGGAAAAAATATCCTCAGGTAAGGATTAACAAAATAAAAATTTTAAAAAAAGGGTTGTGGAATATAATGAACATAAAAGTTTGAGAAATAGGGTAGACCCAGAAACATGGAAGTAGGGTACAGACTAACAACCCTCAGAAGAGGGGGTGGTGGGGGGAGGGAAGAGATAAACCACAGAACTTATACGCATGTACGTATAACCAATGGACATGGACAACAAAGCCAGGGACAGGGCGGGGAGGATGGGGAGGAGGGTGTCAATGGGGTAAAAAAGGAGAAACATCTGTACAAAAATAAAATTAAAAAAAAAAAAGTGAGAATGTTTAAAATGATAACACTCGATACAGGTATAGCCATAGTAAAAGGGGCACTCTCATCATTCAGCTACTGGTAAGAATAGAACAGGCAGTCCTTCTGGACAGCAATTTGTCAAACCCTTACAAGTGGCTTACAATGGTACACCCCTCTGACGTAATTCCATCTTCAAAACTTCAGCTAGGGAATAATCTGAAACGGGACACTGAACACTCAGAGGTATCCATGGCAGTGTTCTACATGAGATAAAAACCGTAAATAAACTTAACAGCCAAGAAAAGAACATGATTAGGTAAATTATGATAGATTTTAAAAGTTTTATGCAGCCATTAAAATGATATTTTACAAAGAATTTTTAATGAAAATAACAGCTATAATAGTAACAGCTAATTCCTACATAGGCTAGGACTATCCTAAGGTTATTGGGTGCTTTACATGTTATTAACCTTCAATCCCTATATCAACTCAGAGAGATAGGGTTGCTATTATTCCCACTTTACAAACCAGAAAATGAAAGCACCAAGAGTCAAGACACCACCCAAAGCCACTGCTACTAAGAGACAGCACTGGAAATTGAGCCCACCCCGTCTGGCTCCAGAGTCCAAGCTTTTAAACCCTACATCGGGCTGAGTAATAACCACAAAGATATCAGACCCTGACTCTGGAACCTGAAAATGTTGCAGGAGCGCAGCAGATGTGATGAAGACAAGAATCTTAAAATGAATAGATATCCTTGAATTTCTGGGTGGGCCCAAGATGCCACCACAAGTGTCCTCATAATAGAGGCAGAGGCCGGTTTGGCTCAGTGGTTGGAGGGTCCACCTGTGGACCAGAGAGTCCCAGGTTCGGTTCCCTCTAGGGGCACATACAAAAAAAAAAGAGGCAGAGGGAGATTTCACTCTCTCTCTCTCTCTCTCTCTCTCTCTCTCTCTTTCTCACACACACAC